GGCACTTTTTCACGAACAATAATCGCAGGATTTGTACTGGATCGCTTACTAGATAACTCTTTTAACACTTAGAAAAGAAATCAATTGTATTAACACTTAATGTACTATTTCACTACCCAGTTTTGATAAGTAATAACGCGACTAGTTCTTTGTACGATTCTTACGATTCTCTCAACTTGATCGTGATAGATCAGATACTTTACTTGATTGCATTACATCTTGCCTGTATCACTATATTAAAGAGAAATAAATATCACAGATTCTTGTATCACTATCCGATCAGTGAAATAGCAGTCTGTAGGAGCTGGTGGTGGAGAACGACACTCTTTGCCTAAATTTTAAGAGAGAAGAAAATTAGTATATTGTATTGATTATTACTTTGTTCAACCTAACTGATAATTCAAAATTGTAATATAGGCCTACAATTATCGAATTTGTTCTAAAGATACGCCCAAAAGTAGACCAAATAAGCTTGCACCTTCTAAACCTTAAGCAGTGGTTCTTAACTTTTTGGAATCGCCGAACCCCTCTTAACAGTTGTATCGTCCACACAGACAAAATCCGATCGTGAATCATGAAAAGACTGTGCTAAACGAATTAGCACCGCTACAATTTTTTTTTCCTGACATTACTAATCATCAATTTTAAAGGATAATGCAACTTAAGGGGAATTTTATTGACGTCGAGTGAACTTTTAGGGAACGACAATCAACGTAATTGTTAATTTTTTTCTAGACTGTCGCACACACATACACACACACGTATATATATATATATATATATATATATATATATATATATATATATATATATATATATATATATATATATATATATATATATATATATATATAAATGTATATATATATATATATATATATATATATATATATATATATATATATATATATATATATATATATATATATATATATGGGGGGGGGTGGGGGCGGCAAAATGAAAGTTCGCCAAGGGCGCCGGGAGGGGTCGCTACGCCTCTGTAAAACAGTGACGTCACTAATGTTTATACGTTAACTAATGACGTCATCTACCGTGTTTAGAATAAAAAGAAATGAACTATTTCATTCAAATATTATTTACGTACGCTATAAAATTTATACAATACAATTTTGCTCGAGCTAAACTTAAAAAAAATTCTATTAGGATTCTAGATCTAGATATTCTAGATCTAGATATTCTAGATCATCTAGATCTAGAGATTCTAGATCTAGATCTAGATGATCTAGATCTACGGAAAAACAAGACTTACACAGATGTAGACCCTATCTAGATCTAGAATCTATTCAAATAATTAATTTCTATACTAAAGTATTTCAGGCCTTAATTACTTTATTGAAATCTTTGTTTATCTATGCAATTTGCTAATTTCTATAATATATAAAGCAAAGTTGTCGGGTGCCCGATAGGGCACTTCCCGGCGCCGCAGGCGCTTCAAATTTGACAGGATCTTGCCTTGGGGCGACAGAACACGGGGGCCGGTTGGCCGAAAAGTCTACGATGAGGTGGTCAAATCTGACCTCAACTGACCGGCGCCTTATATGAGCTATAAATCGAACAAAAATGTCCACGGAGGAACCTCTTCATAACTCCTGAGGTCGTAGACAGACCCTCGGGCGAATTAAGTAAGCATTTAATTTCTCAATGTTTTCGAAAGCCTAAGCAAAGCTGGGCAGCATGCCTAGTTTTAAAGATTATCCTTTGTACACAAAACCACTTGACAATTGTCTTGTTTACACGCTGTGCATGGATGAATGGGAATCCCCGAAATCCGCGCACTTTCTGAATCCGTTCATGACCTCCATGTTGACCCGAAGCCTCCGTCTGTTTATAATATGAGTGGGTCATTGTCAAAAAATCTCAGACAAATCAGTCATCCGGGCTACTCGGGCTACCAGCAAGGCTACCTTTGTTTAGTGCTACCACAGGTAGATGGTTGTGTTATGGTGTTCTAATGTAGCGACTGGTGTTTGCCTCACGTTAGGCCAACGTGCATAGTAATCTACTTCTATATTTATCGATAATTAATTTGGATCTATTGGTATTCGAATAGTCATACGTTTAGTTAGATGTCGAAATACTAGTCATAACTAAATAAATGGCCTAACTAAATACTGCTACTCTACTGCTATTTGCCACTGCCACTGCCACTGTCACTGTCACTGCCACTGCCACTGCTACTGCCACTGCCACTGCTACTGCTACTGCTACTGCTACTGCTACTGCTACTGCTACTGCTACTGCTACTGCTACTGCTACTGCTACTGCTACTGCTACTGCTACTGCTACTGCTACTGCTACTGCTACTGCTACTGCCACTGCTACTGCTACTGCTACTGCAATGCTACTTCTACTGCTACTGCTACTGCAATGCTACTGCTACTGCTACTGCTACTGCTACTGCTACTGCTACTGCTACTGCTACTGCTACTGCTACTGCTACTGCTACTGCTACTGCTACTGCTACTGCTACTGCTAATGCCACTGCCACTGCCACGGCCACTACCACTGCCACTGCACTTCCACTGCTACTGCTACTGCCACTGCCACTTCCACTGCCACTGCTACTGCCACTGCTACTGCCACTGCACTGCCACTGCCACTGCCAATGCCACTGCCACTGCCAATGCCACTGCCACTGCCACTGCTACTGCTACTGCTACTGCTACTGCTACTGCTACTTCTACTGCTACTGCTACTGCTACTGCTACTGCTACTGCTACTGCTACTGCTACTGCCACTGCCACTGCCACTGCCACTGCTACTGCCACAGCCACTGCACTGCCACTGCCACTGCCACTGCTACTGCCACTGCTACTGCCACTGCCACTGCTACTGCCACTGCTACTGCTACTGCTACTGCTACTGCTACTGCTACTGCTACTGCTACTGCTACTGCTACTGCTACTGCTACTGCTACTGCTACTGCTACTGCTACTGCAATGCTACTGCTACTGCTACTGCTACTGCTATTGCTACTGCTACTGCTACTGCAATGCTACTGCTACTGCTACTGCTACTGCTACTGCAATGCTACTGCAATGCTACTGCTACTGCTACTGCCACTGCCACTGCTACTGCTACTGCTACTGCAATGCTACTTCTACTCCTACTGCAATGCTACTGCTACTGCTACTGCTACTGCTACTGCTACTGCTACTGCTACTGCTACTGCTACTGCTACTGCTACTGCTACTGCTACTGCTACTGCTACTGCTACTGCAATGCTACTGCTACTGCTACTGCCACTGCCACTGCTACTGCTACTGCTACTGCTACTGCTACTGCTACTGCTACTGCAATGCTACTTCTACTCCTACTGCTACTGCTACTGCTACTGCTACTGCTACTGCTACTGCTACTGCTACTGCTACTGCTACTGCTACTGCTACTGCTACTGCTACTGCTACTGCTACTGCCACTGCTACTGCCACTGCAACTGCCACTGCTACTGCCACTGCCACTGCCACTGCCACTGCCACTGCCACTGCTACTGCTACTGCTACTGCTACTGCTACTGCTACTGCTACTGCTACTGCTACTGCTACTGCTACTGCTACTGCTACTGCTACTGCTACTGCTACTGCTACTGCTACTGCAGGCAGATTAACCCGCAAAAGAAAATGATTTTAATTCTCATTGCCATAATATATTTATGCTTATCTAAGCAGCACCATCGTTAAGATCCACTCCTGTCATTTCAACCCCCAGGCACTGCCTTAGTTCTGCTATGTATGGCATCAGCAGACTTCTGCTGACCTCGACATCTTTCCCCAAGACAAAAGTTTCAGCAGACGACACCTGCCGTCTTCCCGCGGTCGATGCGGTGGTCGACCTCGACCCCCAGGGTCAAGAGAGCCCCAGCTCCTCCCCTTCCAGTACCAGCCCCGTCCCCGGGTACTCAGAAGCCCACAGAGCACAAAAAAACAAACTCTTGAACTGCCAGCATTTCTTCCTGAAACCCTCCATCGCTCCTCTCGCTGTCCCTCTCCTCCCTGACGAGAAGAAAAGTGACGTCACAGAGGTAATTTCCGAGTCGGAGAAATGGTTGGAAGAGAGGTACCCGTATCTACCGACATCGCGCCGGACAAGAATGATCGGGCGGAAACAGCATCAGACGACCCGAATTTGCATGGCGAATCGCTGCTTCAAGATCATGGACCTGGTGTTCGGTTTGTGTCAGGTAGACGGTGTGGTGTCAGGGGTGTCATGTACATGGTGTCAGGTGTGTCTGGTGGTTGATGTCAGGTGTGTCTGGTGGATGGTGTCTGTTGTGTCAGGTATACGGTGTCAGGTGTGTCTAGTGCATGGTGTCAGGTGTGTCTAGTGCATGGTGTCAGGTGTGTCTAGTGCATGGTGTCATGTGTGTCTAGTGCATGGTGTCATGTGTTTCTAGTGCATGGTGTCAGGTGTGTCTAGTGCATGGTGTCAGGTGTGTCTAGTGCATGGTGTCAGGTGTGTCTAGTGCATGGTGACAGGTGTGTATAGTGCATGGTGACAGGTGTGTATAGTGCATGGTGTCAGGTGTGTCTAGTGCATGGTGTCAGGTGTGTCTAGTGCATGGTGTCAGGTGTGTCTAGTGCATGGTGTCATGTGTGTCTAGTGCATGGTGTCATGTGTGTCTAGTGCATGGTGTCAGGTGTGTCTAGTGCATGGTGTCATGTGTGTCTAGTGCATGGTGTCAGGTGTGTCTAGTGCATGGTGTCAGGTGTGTCTAGTGCATGGTGTCATGTGTGTCTAGTGCATGGTGTCATGTGTGTCTAGTGCATGGTGTCAGGTGTGTCTAGTGCATGGTGTCAGGTGTGTCCGGCATATGATGTCAGGTGTGTAGTACATTGTGTCTGGTGCATGGTGTGTTGTGTAGTGTGTCAGACTTCAGGTGTGTTTTCATTAAAGCCTGTATATAATTCATCTGTGTGTATCGTATGTCTCTCCCCTCACCAACACGTTACACCCTGACCTCTGACCCCGCAGTTCGTGTTCGCCTTTACCTACATGCATGACTGCCCAGCCCTGCCACTCATCCCCCTGAGTCTGCTGGTCTTCAGCCTGCTCTCGTCTTCCTACACAGCCTGGGATTTAATCCAAACCTGGATTATCACCCACATGGATTACTCAAGCTGTCTGGACGATCTTATGTACGGCATAGGGGCGCTGCTGTTTGTAGCGCTGCAATTCGCGTTTATAGCAGGTAAACACTGGGTTTATAGCAGGTAAACACTGGGTTTATAGCAGGTAAATACAGGGTTTATAGCAGGTAAACACTGGGTTCATAGCAGGTAAACACTGGGTTTATAGCAGGTAAATACAGGGTTTATAGCAGGTAAACACTGGGTTTATAGCAGGTAAACACTGGGTTTATATCAGGTAAATACAGGGTTTATAGCAAGTAAACATTGGGTTTATAGCAGGTAAATTCAGGGTTTATAGCAGGTAAATTCAGGGTGTATAGCAGGTAAACAAAAGGTTTATAGCAGGTAAATACAGGGTTTATAGTATGTAAACACAGGGTTTATAGATGGTAAATACAAGGTTTCTGGCAGGTATATACTGGGTTTATAGTAATTAAACACCGGATCCAGTGGGTAAATGCCTTACTAAAATGTTAGTGTTTAATCATAGTGTATCTGGAATTTTTAAAATTTGAAAGAAATTTCCGTATAGAAAATGATCTTCAAGTCTTGATTTCTTACAATTTTTCCAGATTTTTTACCAACATTTCACATCCACAGTGTCCTTTTTCACGTACTCACTCCACGATTTCTCAATGGATGTGACGTCACCGAACTACTGCAACCCCCTGCTGTTTGGGTTCGCCTACGGTTTCGTCACCATCTCCTTGGTGTTACTCATCCTTCTCTCCGTCTGCGGTATCATCATCATCTGCTACCTCCGGTGCTGTGCCAGCCACCCGGTCATCGTGCGCATGTACCGCAGGTGGCGCAGGCAACTACCCAGGCAGCCGGTGTAATGCCGTACAAAAACTGCACCTTCCAGGAAACATCGCGCATAAAACGTCCGGAACTAATCAGGAGAATCCTGTTTATGTTATTTATTTCACGTTCTGAGTTTTAAATAACATTGGCACTTTGTGACAAAACTAAATTGTTAGCAAAACACTACGTTTTTACTTGAGACATGTATTCTATACATTTTTATTTTTTTGCTTGTTTTTAATTAGATTGTTTTTAATTAGTTTGATTTTAATTAGTTTGTTTTTAATTCGTTTGATTTTAATTAGTTCTTTTTTTTTAAATAACTTGGTACAATTTTATAAAAATAGGTATTTTTTTATCATTTTAAATGTTGTATTTTAAAACTTTGCGAAAATTTTATCGAAAAAATAATCACATTTTATTGTTTTTATTTTTTGTTTGTTTTAATTTTCAAATTTAAATTTTAAATTTTTACTATTTTAAATTTTAATTTTAATTTATTTTTATTTTTTAATTTTAAAAATATTTAATTTTTAATTTTAATTTAAATTTTTAATTTTAATGTTTTAAAATTTTTATTTTTATTTTTTTTTCAATTTTTTTTTTCAATTTTTAACTTTAAATTTTTTATTTTAATTCCTTTTTATTTTTAAAATGTTAAAATTTTAATGTTTTTTTTATTTTTAATTTTGTTTCAAATTTATGTTTAAATTAACTGCATACCGGCTCATGGTTGCTAAACCGAAAAGTCTCGAGTTCGAACCCTCGGGCAGATGAGGTTCGTTAGCTGAGAACAGCCGCTCTTCTAGGAGAGACAACTCCGAAATCAAACTACTGCTGACTTGCAGTTTGTTCTTGGTTGGACAAAGGCCTAAATGACGCATAACCAGTTGACACGTATCCTTAATTGTGATGGAGGCGTGGTCGAGTCGGCAAAATCTGATGGTTGATAAATTCAAACCCTCTGGCAGATAAGGCTCGATACCTTCCATCACTAAAAATTAAGAACGAAGAAGAAGAAGATTTGTGATAGTATTTGTATTGTAAATACGAAATACATATTAAAATACAGTTTGTTTATATTTTTATAATTTTCAGAAAATATAAATAGAGAAGATAAACAAATAAAATAAAATTTGCATAAATCATCAAAGGTTTTTAAGAGAAAACAGTTCGATCCTGTTTTTAATCAAAAATAATATCCCACAAATAAGTTTTTTTCAGCCATTACTTTTATTTTTTTAACTAGCCCCAAACCTTCTCACAACGAATAACTGAAATTAACTAAACAAGCCTAACGTAATGTGATACTTTGCCAGGGAAAGATAAGGCTACAAGAACATGGTCGGGCCATATGTTATCCTTTCCAAGAAAACTCAACTGTGGTCACATTGGTCGTTTCACTATCAATGAAAGCGACCTTTTTTTTCTATACAAATTGATGAGTATGTAAATCTAATCGCTTATAGCGTGTGCTAACCGCCCTTGGCCTCTGTGATCAGGACATCTCATGTTACATTTCGTGCCTTTGTGTGTAAGGATGTATCGTGTTTCATCCTGTACCTTTGTGAGATGGCTCGGACTGCCAATGGTAGATGTGCCGTGGGTGGCGGGTGGGGAAGGGGCTGTTAAGTATGTAAGTTGTTTCATCCTGTGCTTACATCAGTTGTTTAGTCCATTTAAAAAAGTATAAATTGAGGCAAGAATCTAGTCTAAAAAACACTCCTGCTTAGACCTGCAAACCAAACAACACTTCCACCTGGTGAATGGAAAAAAAGTCACAGGAAAAAAAAAACACAGAGAAAAGTCACAGTTTATGCTAGGAAAAAAAGTCACAGAAACAAATTTACATTGGAAAATCACAGAAAAAAGTCACAAAAATCTTTTCGGAAATATTTTTATGTATTTGTTGAAAATTTTATCTCTATCACCACAACGAATAACTTCTCACAGACATTCCCGATTTTATTATTCCTAAAACCACAATACACTAGGCAAATAATCATTTCTGCAGGTCCTCACGATAAAAGAAGTGGGTAGTGGAAAAAATACAGGTTTCAGGACAATCAACACAGGGATTTATACATACACGCAACACAGAAACGCACTTTCTTACTTTTACATTAAAAGACAAGTACAGCCAGACATTGTGACAACATCTCCCCTAAACATATAATGCTTTGACAGTTTTAAATTTAAACATGACTTTAACTAGACTTTATACTAATGTAAATATGCAAATAAGACATAACCAGGACTGTATGCCGATGGGGTTGATTTTTAATAAATTTTTATATACATTGAAATGATCTTTTGTGATTTATTGTGATATCTGACCAAAAGGTGTGAAATATTTCCCAACGTATACAGTTGATGTTTGTTATTTGTATGAATGTTAATTGTGTTTACAGTTGGTGTTTGTTATTGTTTTGTTAATTGTGCCTGAACGTTACGTAACTCGGTATTCTATATAAGATGTATTACTAGAATAAAAAACAACCATTTAAAATTATAGATCAAAGATGGAAACACCCCTTTACGGCTCTCATCGCTGTACCAAACGGGAGTGGTAAAACAGTTTTTGTCAAAACGTTTTTATCCCAGGTCTCAGAGATGTTGGATCCTGCACCTGAGGAAATTTATTACTGTTATGGTGAATGGCAGCCCATGTACAATTCTATGAAAGACGTTCAGTTTGTGGAAGGCCTACCTGACATAGAAAAAGGATCAATGGGGGGATGGAACACGTCGTCGTCTAGTCGTCATCGATGATTTGATGGCGGAAACAGATGATCGTATTACAAAATTGTTTACGAAAGGTAGTCACCATCGTAATATTAATGTCGTGTATATTGTCCAAAACCTATTCGGAAAAAATAAAGAACAAAGAACCATCAGTCTTAATTCTTCACGCTACATCGTGTTGTTCAAGAATCCTAGGGACGGCTCACAGATTACAAATTTAGCAAAACAAATGTACCCAGGTCGCGTTTGGTATGTACAGGAAAGCTTTAAGGACGCAACGGCGGCCCCACATGGTTATTTGTTGATCGACCTTCGACAGGAAACACCGGATAATCTGAGATTACGTAGTTGTATCTTTTCTCACGAGCAACAAGTTGTTTACGTTCCAAAATAAAAAGCAACCATGTCTGAGTCAGTAAAACGACAAGGTGAAATGTTAAGGTTTTTGGTTCGGCCAAAACCACCCGCCGTGAAAGCAGTTGTCAAAAATGCTTTGCCGCAACTCGTAAAAACGTTATGTGGGTGCTTTCACGATGTCTTAAAAGGCAACGTTCCTCTCACAACTCTTCAGAAGAGACGTTTGCGTCGTCACAAAATGAACTTGAGACAACTTACCAAAAAGAAATTATCTGTCAAAAGACGAAAGCAAACTTTACAGACCGGAGGTTTCATAGGTGCTTTACTCGGACCAGTCATTGGCGTTCTTACAGGTATCTTGCGATTTTAAGGATGGTCAGGAAAATGATTTTAATGGATCCTCGTATATTAGAGTCTATACAACAAAAACCCTATGTACCACCCGACACACTCAACGATAGTCTACGCCTCTTGGATATGCAAATGGAACAGTGAAATAGTGAAGATTTATCACCACACGAAAAAGTGAAACAATATCAAAAGACACTACAGCTCTACACGACGCGACTTAGCGATTATAGAAACAAGTCCCTAGGTTTAGTCGATGTGAAACCACCCACCGTGAATATCCCAACTACCTATGTTGAAAAAACCACAAGAACACATAACTGAACTTAAAAAAGAAACGATCGACATAACCACCTCACCTCACTCTAAAGTTCAACCCTCGAAGAAAACGAAGACACACATAGAAAAAACACCACCCTCGAAACGTACCAGAAGTAAGAAAACTAAAACAAACACTACCAAATGGGACGAGTGGGAAAAAACCAAAAACTAACAAGACATTACTATGATCCTAGTAGACCAGGTGCTTACGGCGGCGTGTTTAAGCACCCTCAAATTGGAACTGGGTGATTCCGATAAAGAAAAAAAAAACGGGTAAAGCCTTAGTGGAGGCTGTGCGTAAAATATTTTCGACTAGAAAACCTAAACATTTTCAAACAGACAAAGGTGGTGAATTTGTCAACAAGACATTTTTAAAACGGAGAGCGTCTCTTTCTTTACCATCGAGAATAAAGAAATTAAGGCGGCTATCGTTGAAAGATTCAATCGCACATTAAAAGAAAAAATTTGGCGGTACTTTACAAAAACAAATTGTCTTCCGTACGTCGAAGTGGTAGACGATTTGATCAGCAATTATAGCCATTCATACAATCGGAGTATTCGCTTGGCCCCCGTGAATGTTAATTTGGGTAATTAAGAAAGCGTGTGGAATACTTTGTCTTTATACCACGGGTTCCCAAACTAGGGGTCGCGAAGGGTTTTCTGGGGGGTCGCCAATTGGTATACTAAACCTTAGTAATGAGAAACAAAACAAAACATAAATATTTAGAACAATATCTGAAATTCGGCTTTACTAAAATTACTGGAAATGGAATAGAGAACAACCACTGCGCACTGTAGAAAGTTGTTCTCAGTCACGAGCTTATGAAATCTTCAAAACTAAAACGTCATTTGAGACGAATGTTTCGGAACACACCAAAAAAGATATGGAGTTCACTCGTCGGCATGAAGCTAGTTGTAAACGTCAGAGACTTGATCGAACAGGAAGTTTTAACTAAGGAAACACAACATTAGTGCAATCCTCATATGAAGTCGCGATATAAAGGGCTAAACAAAAACAAAAAACAACACAGGAGAAAAATATGAGAAAATCTCATCAAACGCTGCCTAAATATCTCAGCCTAATAATACTATTTAGCGGCTTATAGTAGACATGTCCGTAGATGTTAAATTGCACATTTTATTGAAATCAAGCTTTTGATAAATCAACAGACGTGAGTTCGTTTCCACAGTTGCTGGTCTTTGTCTATATGCATTCAGATAAAAGCAAAGAAGTGTTGCTATTTTGTGAAGATAGCATGGAGAAAATAAATACGGTCAAATCCCTAAGTCGGCCAATGCGCGGCTTGGCCGGCCAATGCGCGCATTGACCAATATCGCCACCCATTGACCCGTCAAAGTCTGAAACTTTGCTTGATATCGGCCCTTTGTCCTGAAATAGCTCTT